GGAGCCGGTCTCCCGGCGCCGTCACGGCCGCGTCCGCCGGGCTGCAGTCCGGCCCGCAGCTTCTCTCCTAAAGAACGTTGTGTGGGTCAAATACCCAGTTCCACTCTTGGTTCAGTTCCCCAGCTCCAGGGTCACACCCTCAAACCGTGTAGCCTCCAGCTTCGGCGTGTGTCGCAGCTCTCAAGCTCGCTAGCCCCTCTGAGGTGGCCTGGGGTGGGGTCGGGGTACAGGTGCGGGTGGCACTGCTGTTGTGTTCTAAGCCTGCCTCCTCTCTGTGGAGCCCAAGAGAGCTCTCCAGATGAGGCTGGGGAAGTGGCCGGATGCTTGAGCCTCTTTGTGCTGGAGGAGACGCGGAGCCGCGGCACCTCTCCCCTGCTGGGGGTGCAGGTCACGGACGGAGTTCTCTCCGGCGCTTGGGCCTGAAAGAGAATTTCCAGGTGGGGAGAGGTGATTCGGCTGCGCTCTCCTAGCTCTTCCCTGACGGCTCTCTTTCACTGGAAGTCGCTATCAGTCCCAATGGCCATCTCTGCTGATGTCCCGGACGTCTTAGCCCCTCACACAGTGGCTGCACCCTGGTCATGGGATTCCCCAGGACCTGAGTAGCATGCCTGCGGTTTCCCAGGAATGCTAGCTGGAGGCCAGCTTTGAGCTAAGGCAGCTTTGTCCGTAGAGCTCATGACCACCGTGCGGTGCTCTCTGCAGCATGACTGACTGCACCTGAGGTCCCGTCCCGATGAAAGATAGAAATAAGAGTCTTTTGCCCACCTAGGATCTGAGAGATGCCAATGTCATTGAATCTTCAGGCGATATACCTTGCTCCTGTCCAGAGGTGGGACTCTTGTCCCTGTTGTAGATGTAATCTTGTAACGATATCTTAATAATGGCCCTAATGAGAACAACCCTCTTACGGAAGATACAGACGAGGGGTGGGGGAGGGCTGATGTTTTTTCCACAAGCCTGGCCACATAACTCTAGCCTCTCCTGGAGAGAAGGTGATGGATTCCCGCCTTCCCTAGAAAGGTTTTGGGGGTGATAGGGAGGGAGGGCCGAGCTGACAAGGCCCAGACAGCGTTCTTGGCCAGAGGTGGCAGGGCGCTCTGGGAAGTAGCTGACCCAGAACAGTGTAGTGCCATAGAAGCAGCACCAGGAGCTGTTGGGCATGTCCAGTGCTGCCTCGGGTTGTGGGAGACGACTGCTGAAAGGACACTGAACTCGTCAGGAAAGAAGAAGACCATTGCTGTCCTTGGTCAGAGCCCTGGGAGCAGAAGCCAAATGGCCTGGGGTGGGAGGAGGAGAGAGCAGCCAGCAGCTCCTGAACCTCCCTGAACCTGGTGGACGCTGTGAGGAGGCCACGAGGAAACAGGAGGAGCACACCTGCGTGCTCACGTCCCTCCGGAGCTGCAGTGGCGGCCGCAGGGCAGCCCAGAGGTGCAGTCCCCTGGAGCTCTGCTCTGTGTCTTACTCAGTTACCCTTTTGCCCTTCTTTTCCCATTATTCCTGAGGGTGGAGGTCTGCAAACCTCCCTGTGTCCTGTCTATAGGCTGTGAGCAGCAGACAGTGACTGACTAATTTGCCAGCCCAAGGCCATAATACCTCTTTACCAGTGTGGACCTGAAACAGCTCCCAGTGCCTGCGTGCCACTCCTCCCCCAATCTCAGAGCTACTCCGGGCAGCTCACAGGCCCCCACCCCCTAGATTAAGCTCCCACTCTTTCCCCAGCACTGAGAATCGCCTGTCTCTCTCAACATCAGCTGTGTACTTAGATGATTTCTTGTTCTAGTGTCACAGCAGAAAGGAGGGCTATGTTAGCCTCGCATGTTTTGGAACCAGAATCTGGTGTGTGTTTATTTCCTTTTGTTCATTTCATTCAGGTCTCTTTAAATGAAAGAGTATGGGTTTAAGTTTGCTTGCATCCACAGAAGATAAAGGAGCTAAGCAGAAACAGAAAGATTGCTGATTTTCCGGTAAATGTTAATTCAAAGCAAGGTATATCTGATTTGAAAAACTTCCTCTAAAATTAAGGAAAAAATTATGAAAATCATGAAGAGGTACACGTTTTTAAAGCTGTATTCGTGTAAACAGATGCAGGCTTGTGTTGTTCAGGTGGTATAACAGTCATTTTAAATGAAAAAATCAGCAAGTATCACCTCCGAAACAAACCAATAACCTAACCCCCTTTTTTAAGAAAAGTAAGGTTTAAAATATAAGCTTACTTTTAAAACTAGTCCCGGCTGATCTAAGCAAAATATCCTATAAAAGTGTAAAAAGTTCACACCTGGAAAGGGAAACAAAATCTTTGATTAGTGGTAAAGGGCAAGGGACAGACATACCTGGGTCTGAACCTGAGCGCTGCCACAACTGACTTGGTGGCCTTGGGTTATTGACTTTCAGTCTCTTTCTTCATCTGCAAAATTGAGTAAATAACAGGGCTAATAGCTGCCTCATGAGATTCGAAGGTGTGATGGGACCACGCCAGCCACTTGTGCGGCCCACCTGGCTGGGGTGGCAGGGGCCCTCGTAAACAGTGCCCCTCCTCCCCTCCCAAGCCTGAACCAGGGAGGCATGTGAAGGGCAAAATGTGCCCTACTACTGATCGGAGCCTTTGCTGGCGTGACGTGGGGCTGCTTAGGCTGAGTGCCAGTTACACACTTGCCTGCCTGCTTGCTGGGAGCCCTGGGAGCTGCACCCTCCCCTGGGGTGGGGCTGGGCTGGCTTGGGAGCAGAGCAGAGCATGCACCCTGGTGGGAGAGGTTGGGCTGCATGCCTTGTTATGCTCCTGAAGATTCGACTAACTCCTTCCACCTCTGGGGAAGAGAAATAGGCAGAATACATTGGGAACATCCTTCCTCATGACACCAGAGCACAGGGATGGGCGCTCCCTCCAGTGCCTGGCCTGTAGCAGGGACCCTGAGGACCTCTGACAGTAGCACCGCTCCAAGGCCAGGCACACCAGTGCGTCTGTGTGGGTGGTCACAGGAATGCCAGAGTGCGTTAGAGATGGGGAGAGTGTTGCAGAGGGATGGGTGCACTGGGTCCTGCCTGTATTTTTGAAAACTGCATGTGTACGTAGTAAATGTACAGTCATTTTAGCAGAGGTCTGGGTGAGTGCGTGTGAACTAAACAGCTGGCAGTGGTCTTGCGTTGAATTGCTGGGGATTATCATTGTCTATGTTTTGTTTACCTCTTGAAATACTTCTACAATGTGTATTTTATGTTTGTAATTGCTGAGAACTAACAAGATAGAAAAGTAAAGCAAAACAGGATATGAGACTGAGTAGCACGGTCCTGACTTCATACTATATTGGGGCAGAAAAAAGGCCAGAGGAGAAGTAATGTCAGTGTAGTGATCTGAGTGGTGGGGTTAAAGGTAATTTAATTTTTATTTTTAAAGTTTTTCTCAACTATCATACTTACCTTTATACCCTGGGTGGGGGGGAAACTAGTTAAAAGTAATTTTTGTGAACAAGAGAATGATTTTAACCAAGTTAATGGGCCTCTAACTCAGAAAAGCATTCTCAGTGCATGCAACCAGGCAGTGGTCATAAATGCTGTGGCACAGGGCACGCCGGGAGGGCCACTGCTCCAGGAAGCCGGGCTGCGGGTCTCCGTGGAGAGAAATGCCTCCCGTCTGCTGCTGTTCGGATGCCCCTTCTTGCTGTCAGGGTTCAGCTGCTTTTTCATCGCGGGGAGAACTGCATCTGAATAGTCAGGTGGACTATTACCATTTTTTAAGCATGGGTTAATTTTGCTGTAACAGATTCAAAAATGGTGTTTCCAACAAGAAACATGGCTTCTCATGTTCCATCTCACAGGCACTTGGGCAGCTCCGCCCCTCAAGGTCTCTGGGAGCCTGCCATGCTGCGTTGTCACCTGTCACTGTGGGCTGGGTGAGGGGCTGGGACACGCACACACCTCTTCCATTCCTGGGTCCTTGGCTGGAATCAGTCACACCTCACTTCAGGGCCCATTAAGAAATGTCATTTGCAGGTGGCCGTGTGAACACTAAAATTTCTGGAGGGATTTCTGTCACTAAAAGGAAGCAGGATGCTGGGCGGTCTTCAGTCTGCCACAGTTTACCCCACTGGCCACCTGGTCCCACATCAAGCCTCCCCAAATGCTGCCCTCCACACCCAGCGAGAGAGCAGGGTGGTCACATAGACGCGTGCACTCAGGAAGGGGGAGAACCCCAAACCCACAGCAGTTGCTGGTCCACAGCTGCCATGGTTCCGGGTAGAATTTGCAAAGGTAGCCTGAACAAGTGGCCACTGATCGAAGTGTTCCCAGGACCCAGTGGAAATGAGGCCCTCCGTCGACTGAAAGAGAAGTACAGGGCCACTCACAGCTGTTCTGCTCATAACCCCGAGCTGCCCGCAGCCCAGCTGTGGGTGAATGGAAGAGTGGGCTGTGCACGGTGGCGCATCCGGGCAGACGGAGAAGCTGTGCAGGAGGGAGGGGCGCTCCCGGGCACGTCCTGGGGGTGGGCGCAGTGCAGGCCCGAGTGCTCTGGGATGAACTAGACCTGGGCAAGGTTCTGCGGCCTCAGGGATGTTCTGAGTTGTGCACTTGAAAATGATGAGTTTTATGGTGTGTGAATTGTACCTTAATAAAAAGTGGGCACACGATTAATAAAAAGCAGACACAAAAGAACATGCTGTATGACTCCACTTCAATGAGACTTTAAACGGGCAGAATTCACCCATCATAGCAGAGATGCTTACCCTTGGAGGGGAGCCTTTTGGGTGATAGAAATGGTGGTGGTTAGATAGGTGCATGTGAGGCGTTCGTCAGAGTGGGGTTCATGTGATGTAGCTGTAGCTGAGGGGCAGGGGAAAGATGTGGGAAGGAAGCCCAGCCTGGACGTAGAGTGTGTGTAGTCTGGTTACTCCTGCTCCCTGGGCTGCGCCCTCTGCCCCACTCTGTCCTTGGAGGCACATCCTTGTCTTTGGCAGCCACGTTGCAAATGGGTTTTGGATGGCATCCCTTTGTGGGGCTGCACAGCAATCAGTTTGCTTCCTGCTGGTGCAGATTTTGGGTGGGAAGTGGACTCAGCTGGGGAGAGCCCTCAGGTGACATGCCTGGAAGGCAAGCAGGATTGGGCAGTGAGGTTAAAATTGTGACCAAGGCACATCCCAGTGGATCTTGGGGGCTAGTGTGACCCTTGTGAGTTGCCCCAGGTGGAAGCAAGGGCACTGGGTTGGGTGTGGTAGGCTGTTCTCGGGTGGCCCTCTGAGATTCCTGGCCCCTCATGTCCAGCACCTCCCAGCCGCCAGGTTGGGATTTCAGGGATGTAGTGAAGGTCCCAGTCAGTTGCCAAAAGGAGCCCTGGGAAGACGAGGTTTTCGGCAACTGGTGGCAGAGGAGAAGTCACAGTGGGAGGGATTCTCTGAGCTGTTCTGCCAGGAAGACAGGTTTTCCCAGGGAGCCACTAGCACGTAGCTGAGACAGTTCTACAAGTGCAGGGAACCAGATTCTGCTGGTGGTCTGAGTTTGGAAGTGCTTCCAGATGAGACCTCAGCCTGGCTGACACGCTGTGTCACTCAGGAGGGTCCCAGTCCTGCCAAGCTGGACCTATGACCTGCAGCACAGAGGTGGCAGATAGACGCTGTTTCTGCTGTGAAGTCTGTATCACTCCATAGTGACGGGCAGCTTCCAGTGGGAGGCCTTTCCTGGGAGGGGCCATGGCTTTGGCAGGTTCCTGCCTGAAGGCGGTTCTCAGTGGAGAATTCCAGAGCTGGAGGGCAGCATTGCTCTGAAGAGGGGAACTGGGTGCCGCGTCCTGGTGACCATGTAAGGTTAAATAACCAGGCTTTTCCAAAGCAAACATGCCCATGTGCAGATCCCAGAACCCCCAGGCCTCCCTGCACCCTTGCCAATCGTGAGCTCCCTGGAGACCATCCCTGTCTCAACTTCCCTACCATGGACTGGTTCTGTCTGTTTTTGACCTTTGTGTAAGTGGAATCACACAATATGAGCTCTCAATCGATGTTACATCTGCGAGGTTCGCCTGCACTTTTCTGCGGGTGCTCTTTTTCACCGCTGTCTGTTTCTCCCTTGTCGGGGGACTCCTCAGGCCACCCTTTTCTCTGCAGATGGGTATTTTGGTGGTCATCAGTGGTGCTGCTGTGAACCTTCCAACTCCAGACTTCTGCAGAGCAGGTCTGGGGTCCCTGAGTAGATAACGGGTGGGTGTAGTGCCCAAGGGGACGTGTCTCCCTTAGACTGCAACAAGGACACCGACCCACGTAATGCGGGAGGGAGCGGCGTGGGCACCAACAGGTGGCTGGTAACCGTAGTGGGGAAAATGGACATTCTCACCTCATTGCTTTTGTTTTCTCCCTGAAGTGAGATGCAAGGTCATCAGCCGAGAGGGAGGGCGAGTGTTGGACGTTTGTGAGGAGAGAACCAGGAGGCGGCCCTATGGGAGACTCACCCAGGTGTAGACATTGAAGGCAGCTCTCAGGGCCCTGTTAGGCAAGTGCTTGTAAACATGGAGAGAATGCAGCCAGCAAGGATGCAGACCAGGTCAGGAAGCAGGCTGAGTTTTGGCGGAGTTGCGGTTTTCTCGTGCATATGGTAGAGGAGCTGGGGCTCAACGTGCAGGAGAACGACTGATACGTAGCCTGCGGTGAACGTGACACCATAGACCGACCACGCCGCGAGGAGGGATGGAGGACCTGAAGGCAGGAGAGGCAGTGGACAGGTGATGAGAGAATAAACTTGTGTTTCTTTGGAAATAGGTCTGGATTTTTGAATGGAGTCCAAGCCACTTCCTTCCCCTCTGCTCCCTGGCCAGTCGGGCCCCTGGGGTCAGAGGTGGAGCCCAGGGAAACCGCCCCAAGGTGGGGCCGAGCACTGTGCTGGGTCAGGAGTGTGGGCGGAGGGACACTTTGCTCTCCCACTCCTTGGACTTGCATTTTATCCCCCACCTGCTCCAGCAGATTCCCATCTGTTAACAAAGGGAAAGATAACCTTTCTCTTATTTCAGGTTCTGACAGGTGACTCGAAGGCAACCCCAGACTCTGAATTTCTGAGCATGGAAATCTGCAGACGGCAACATCAGAAGCCCTCACGGTGATGGAGCTTGCTGCCCCTGCATCTGGGGGGGCCCCCGAACTCAGGTTGAGGGGGCTGTTGGGAAACCTGGAAGGGCAGAGCCTGCGGAGCTGTGCCTCCCAGGAGGCAGGTTTCAAGCAAGTGACGGTCACCCACTGGAAGATCCAAGCAGGAGAAGCAGCCCTGGTGGGTGGTAGGTCAGGGGGGAGCCCGGTCCTGAGCTCCAACCTCCTCATACTTCAGAGGGAGCTTATAGAAGGGGAGGCCCACCCGCACAGGTGCGACGCGCGCGGGGAGGGGTTCGGCCAAAGCGCCTGCCTTGCCGAGCACCGGCAAGCTCACGCCGGAGGGAGGCTCTACGTGTGCGACGTGTGTGGGGAGGACTTCGTCCACCTCGCGGGCCTTGGGGAGCACCAGAAAACGCACGCGGGAGAAAAGGCGTTCAGGTGCGCCCAGTGTGGGAAGGGTTTCTGTCACAGCGCGGACCTGGCCCGGCACCAGCGGGTTCACACCCGCGAGAGGCCTTTTGAATGCAAGGAGTGCGGGAAGGGCTTCAGCCAGAGCTCGCTGCTCATTCGACATCAGAGGATTCACACAGGCGAGCGGCCCTCCGAGTGCAACGAGTGTGGGAAGGCCTTCATCCGCAGCT